CCCCAAAACCCCAAAACCCCAAAACCCCAAAACCCCTTTATACAATAAAATTGCTGAAAATGATTTCATCTGGTTTAAAACAATGGATAAATGGCTACTTCTTTTGGCTGTACACTTCCTTTACACTCTGTTCATGAACTCTGCTGCTTTGAAACAGCAGTCGTTTGTGAAGTAGTTCCCGATCATTTCTTTCAGAGCTGCAGAGTCGTAGTCAAAGTTGGTTTTGGCTCTCAGTCCGTTCAGGCCGATTGAGTAGCAATCGTGCACAAGAGCAGCTTCGCGCTCACTTGAGTAGGTTCCAATGTATCTCTTCTTGCCTGACACATTGATGAGGACTTGCCAGCGCTTGCCGTTGCCGAGGACCCCGACAAAACGAGAGCGGCGAGTAGAGGTTCCGTTGTGGAGGCCTCTAGAACTCTTAGGTGAGGCTTTGAAGAAGATTCCCTTTGGGGACTCAGTCATTTCAAGAATGGATGACAAGGTTGATGAGATATCTGGTAGAGGTCTCTTGCTGGATCTCATACTTTGATGCTCAACAGAAACACTTTTCTGTGTTTCACCAAACAAGCTAGAGCTTGTTAACGAAGGTTTTCTATCAGCCAAGCTTCATGAAGATATTGTGTTAAGAGGCATGGTAGCAGGAATATGACACTCCCATCAATATTGTGCCATGATTTCTTGAAGAGTGTAATTGACAGGGTCGTATTGAATCTATATCCAAACAAGTTTAGATACATTTCAGAACTTAAGGCTTACCGCAGACATATTTTCGAAACTCAATGAGTTGATTTGTAAATTATGAAACATCTTTATTAATTATTATGAATTAGTAGCTTTATATAGTATATTTCATCCCTGATTCATTTTCGAAAGTTTCGCACAAGAAGCATTCGTTACTATACCAGTTTAAGTCTAATGGTCGGAATGGCAAGGACTCGATTGTTTTTAGTTGATATTTCTTAGTTGTTTCAATTAGATAAGAGTTATTTGTCAACTAGTTTGTCACCAACAGGAGGTTATGTTTAATGTACTATTGGGGAGAGATTTAAACTCATCCAAAAGGCTTCTAACTGATTCTTTATGAGTTTACAGCTCTATTATTTCTCTAAAGTTATTGATCACCCAGTTGTTAGAAGTCTCACAAACCAATTTGAGCATAAGCTTGGCAGGGGATTCATGAAAGTGTTCGAAGTTTTCAGAATAAAACGGAGTACCTTTCAACTATATTTGAAATTATTAATGGCTTATTGATATTGCAAGATAATTTTCCTCTATATACTCTAAACTCTCTCCTCAATTTTCCCTTAAATAAAGCTCATGGTGCAACTTAACTAAGAAGAATCGGTAACAATTGCAAACAATGTTTGCTGTTTCTTAATAAATTAGTGAAGATTTCTTAAGTATCCAAGCTATAATTGCTCTCAAAATCGTATAATTTCCTTCAAATAACTCCAAATAAATTTTAATTAGAATGGACCTCTTTAGGAGTTGATTTGGGAGTTTCAGAAATTTGTTAGATATTGCTAAAAATTAGTTGACCAAATATGTGTTACTAGTAGTTTATTAAGTCCCTCACATTATAATTGATGAAAAGCCTAACTGAAGAGATTAAAAAAAATTGTTAGCATACTAAATTTCCCAGGTGTTTTAGGAAGCTTTTGATGAAATAATCAGCTTTCTCCTCTAATTTGTATAGACTATTTCATAACTTTTGCAAATTTTCTCACCTCGATCAATACCGAAATAGAGGCTTCTCCTTGATCTCTTTGTTATCTTCTCTGTCAATCAGTTCATGATCAAGCCTTACAGTTATGAGCTTCAAATCTGGGATCTTTACATGAAAGAAGAAACTTTCAAATTTTGGTAATTTAGAATTGTTATAATATGAAGGTAGTACTTCAAACTCTTAATTTCGAATACAAGGTTGGTCAACCAGATGAAAGAGTTAAGTAAACCCATACTGGAGCAGAGCCCCTTCTGAGGTTGATCTGAGGGTTCTCTAATTTACAAAAGGTTTACCTTTGGGCGTAATTTTTAGATCAAATTTCTCAATACAAATAGTTGTAAAAAATTCAAAAATTTCAACAGGAAAATTTTGAGTTGGACTCTGAGATTCTTTTTGATGAGTAAGGAGGAACTCCGACTTTTATTATTCATGATAAGAAATCTAAGTTATGCCATCAGAGAGAACTTACTTTAGATTTGATTAATCATGGGGTCAGTTGGTGAGTTAATGTAGACCAGCAATAAGCTAAGAATATTGTCTTCGGTTTTAATTAGCATCACAAATTTTTTGAATAAAATTTTACACATGATCAAAATATTAAAATTTTGATCCAAATTTTACAAAAATGGAACTAGTTTTGATGCATATTTTTCTGTTTAAGAAACGTCCCATTAATTTTGCTTTCCGACTTAAGTTCCTTACTTTATTAATCTTTCAAAACCTGGTGTTTTTGTGAAATTTCTCAAATATCCGAGTATTCTCATCATAAACCCCCAAAAGACCTCTTAAAGCCCAGTTCGCCCACCCAAACGCTCATTCCTCTGTACAGGTTTCTCTCTGTCAGTCAAAGTTTGGTTAGCAGAGTGAGAAGGCAGCTCAAGAAGGAATTTGGAGTAGTGGGAGTAGGGATTTGGGACTGGGCTTGGGTTGGAAGAGGGCTGAAGGGGTTGGGAGAACGAAGTGCATCAGGGATGGGATTAGGAGAGGAGGGATAGGGTGGAGCTTAGATGGGTGGATTTTGGATGATTTTTGTGTATATGTTAGAAGTGAAGAGAAAATTAAGCTTTGTGTTAATTTTTATCGTTTTAGTGGTGTCTTTAGCATAATTTGACTTGTGAATGTATAATAGAGTAAGTAAATCGTTGTCAAATTTTCTTTATGATGTATCTTTACTCCATAATACCTTATAAAATGTTATGATTTACAAAATTAGTTAATAAAAACTTAGATATGTGATTTAGTTACAAATAAGAGCTATCATGAGGTATACTAATCATACTTAAACCTCCTTCTCCTATCACCCTTTACACCTTAAACTACATTTCCCAGCCTCTAACTTCCATATTACCCAAAACCTCAACCTCCTAACCCCCTTAAAAACTCTTCTTTGTCCCCTTTAAACCCCAAATTTCCAAATCCCCAGTTCAAACCCTATTCACACATAAAATCCCTTTCAATCCCTTCACTCTTAGACGGGGTTTTGGGGTTTTGGGGTTTTGGGGTTTTGGGG